ACTACAAATTAGGAATCAGAGAGAAGAGATGGTAGGTTAAAAGTGTGGGACAGAAATGTACAGCAACTCCTCTCTAGGGAATGTGTACAGATTAGCTTTGTCGCCTGACATCACTGTTCACCCATGCATGGTATTTACTTCCAGGAAAAATAATTTGCACTGTTTGAACTTTACAATTGCAAAACATGCCTGGAGGCATCAGGGATGTCTCATGGGTATGGATACCCCACAGAGTTCCTCTCCATATTCTTGCACAGAGGGTAGGGAGTAGCGATTATCAGCCATCAATTTATTCATTCTTCTATTAATATTTGCTCAGGTAGTCTTCTAGATTTTGAGAATATAGAAGTTAATCAAAAAATCAAAACCCTCTGGCATCACGAGTGTGTATTCTGGAAGAGGAAGGGAAAGAAAGCCAATAAATGCATAAATAGATACAGTGTATATATTGTATGTATGGATTCCTGGTATGGAGGAAATGAAACAAGCAAGAGGAGTAGAAGTGTCTGTGTACACGTATACGGTGGGAGGGGAGTCACAGTCAAGTGGAAATAACTTAGGTTCAAGCACAACATGACATAATTATCTGTCCATTCAGGGGTAAGGCTTATTTTAGAAAGACAACTATTATTTAGCAGCAGAAAATATTCATACCAGCTTCCTTGCTAAAATAAAAGAACAGTGGCTGGCATGTAGTAGCCCTTTTTTTTTTTTTTTTTTTTTTTTTTTTTTTTTTTTTTTTTTTGAGACAGATTCTCCCTCTTTCACCCAGGCCAGAGTGCAGTGGCAGGATCATGGCTTACTGCAGCCTCAATCTTCCAGGCTGTGCTGATCCTCCCACGTCGGCCTCTCAGGGTGCTGGGATTACAGGCTTGAGCCACCATGCCCAGGCTGTAGTAGCTTTTCAATAAATGTTTGTGGAATCCAAATCTGAATCATATAATATTTCCTATTATTCTTAGACTAAGATTGGAGAATTTAGGCCAAGTGCAGTGGCTCATGCCTGTGATCCCTGAATTTTGAGAGGCCAAGGTAGGAAAGCTTGAGTCCAGGAGTTTGAGAGTAGCCTAGGCAATATAGCAAAACCCTTTCTCTACAAGAAGTACAAAACTTTAGCTGGGCATGGTGGCCCACCAAAAAAATTAAAAAATTAACAATTAAAAGAACAGGCAAACATCACAAGATATTTGAAACATTCACATAATACTAAAATAGAGAACTAAAATAAACAAGCAGGATTACTGAAACTGAAATATTGAAAGTAGTAAAACAGAATGGAATGTTTAAAATTCATATTGATGAACTTAAAGTCATGCAAAGATATGTAGATGCTCTCAAAACTTGAGCATGTTTGATATAATTAAAACAAAGAAATGCATGATTACAATGTATGTGATATGAGAGACAAAACATATTTTACTCTTTAAAAACATACAAACCAAGTTTATGTCTAATAATACAGAAGACCGGAAAAAAATTGAACAAATGCCTTTAAAGTTATATGGAAAAAAATTCTGAACATAGGACTCTACACACAACAAAATCCAGTCAATTAAGGAAATTTGGGGGTTGGGTGCGGTGGCTCATGCCTGTAATCTCAGCACTTTGGGAGGCCGAGGCGGACCAATTGCCTGAGCTCATGAGATTGAAACCACCCTGGGCAACATGGTGAAATGCCCTCTCTACTAAAACACCAAAAAGTTAGCGCAGCCTGGTGGCATGTACCTATAATCCCAGCTACTCGGGAGGCTGAGGTGGGAGAATCGCTTGAGCCTGGAAGGTGGAGGTTGCAGTGAGCCCAAGATTGTGCCACTGCACTCCAGTTTGGGCAGCAGAGTGAGAAAAAAAAAAAGAAAAACAAGAAAGAAAATTTTTGGACAAGCTAGTTTTGAAAATTTTACTTCGCATATGTGGTTTCTTTCCTTCTCCTTCTCCTTCTCCTTCTCCGTCTCCCTTTTGATACAGGTTCTTGCTCTGCCATGCTGGATTGCAGTGGTGAGATCATAGCTCACTGCAATTTCGACCTCTTAGGCTCTAGTGATTCTCCCACCTCCACTCCTCACCTCCTCTCCTAATAGATGGGACTACATGCATGTACCACCATGGCTGTTTATTTTTTAAAATTATTAGACATAGGGTGTCACTATGTTGCCCTGGCTGATCTCGAACTTCTGTGCCTGAGCGTTGTTCCCTCCTTGGCCTCCCAAAGTGTTGGGATTACTGGTGTGAGCCACTGAACCTGGCCAAATATAAAATTTCTGAAAGACTCAATAGTTTGTGAAAGCTGACTTATTCCATCAAAACAGAAAATGAGACTAAGAAAATATCTTAAGTTCCAGGAAACCTTGACAGTTATGCAAGAATGCAGAGTAGAGATGTTCTATTTAATATCTCTACCTGGCCTAGGATGGAGCAGGAAGTCAGAACATTTGGATTGCTATTGGGTATGCTCCAGGCTGGTGCCTTTCTCTCTTGGTCCCTCAGTCCCCTTTACTCAGTTCCACCCTGAGAACTAGTGTGATATCCCCACTTGTCATCAGCTGTCTATATATGCAGAGATACAAGCTATGAACTTAAGAGTATTCCTCATGAGCAGGAGATTGACATGAGGAGATCCTAGTGCTAACCTGAAGATATTTTCAAAAATATGTATGGAGTCATGAAATGAGTGAAGTTTGAAAAGGATGGGGCTCTTTAGTTTAAAATGCTTTATTTTAACATATGTTTCTTTTTTCTTATAGCTGACTTGACTTTACTATCAAGGATTAAGGGCCAATAGAACATTACCAATTAAAAACTGTCTATGTGAAGACAGAAACATTTAAAAAATAATAATCTTTGTGGCTGTCTCACTAATTGGTCATTCGATGTCAAGCTATTGTAAGTTTTGTACATTAACCTCCACAGGTGGGAACTAAAATAACATGTTACTATGACCAGACTGATATAACATTTAAATAATTTAAAATTAAATCTATTTTTAAATTCCAAAAGTCAAAGCAATTTTGTGCTTTAAAAAGTTTTCTTTTTACTCTTTGTAATTTAAATAAACTTTTCTTTTGAATATAATGAAAATCTAGTTTCAAGATAAAATCAAGTTCAATATACATAAAATGAAGAAAATACATTGATTTGTTATAGCAAAATTAATTTCCCATTGTATAAAATGTTAATAAACCGTAAAACTAGGAGTAAAAAAACTCTAGCATTTTGATTTAGAGTTTTGATCTAATCATTTTGATTTACTCATTTTCTACAGTTCTTTGAATTTCTCCAATATATGTATATTCCCCAAATTATTCTCTTAGATGCCATTTATTTTTAAAAAACAGTACTTAAAAGGTAACTAAAGAAAAAGAAAACTGCTTACTGCAATTACATTCAGTTTTTTGAAGTTCAATGGGAAAATAAAATTTCAGCACATGATAGAATTAAATATTTTTGTGTCCAAATTTAAAATGCTAGTAGAAGCCTTCGCATTTAAACACAAATAAGATAATAAAATACTCAAAACATAATCTTAATTGCTTATGATTTAGATAAATAAAATTTGATGGTAATAAATCAGAAAAGAAGGCACGACATTGAAACTTTTGAGTTGGATAAACGAATAATGATGCTAATCCTGAAGCTTCTACATCCTATAACATCCAAGGATTATTTTGTTAATTTAGTGTGCCTTGTTAAAGTATAAATTTCTTTCTCCGAAACCTATTTCCCAACCTCTCAATCTCCTGAAAACTGAAGCAGATCACTCCCTTCCTGCATTTCCTCCCTCTAGTACTGAAGGTGAATCAACAAGTCTAGTTAATGGGGAACCCACATTCTATGCCTCAGTATCCTATCACACCTAACTTTCTGCAGCCTTTCAGAAACAGGTTCCTGCATGTTCTGAGGACTAAATGCTTTCTACAGATTTGGTCCCAATTTTTGGTCAACAGTTTTATGAATGTCCTGGTAGGCTGTCTAGCTCTCCGCATTACTAGAATTTGACTTTGTTCTTACCAGTTTCCCTAAGTTGATTAGAGACCTTTTCTTAAATATCTGTCTTGGGTTTAATGCTTTTATATAACCTGACATGCCTTTTTAATGCAAATTGTTTGCTTTATGATTTCCAAGTAGTGCACCTTGAAAAGTCCTAGTCTGTTACTCTGTGAAGTCATCTTAGACCATATGTGTCATGTACCAACTTGCACTACAGTTGTTTTTTTTTTTTTTTAATCATTTCCTATAGATAAAATTCTTGCTTAACTAACTGGGTTCTAAGATAGAAATTATTGTTTCAGAGAGCAAGAGATAAGTTGTAATGCCTGAAATCTCACTGGCACCAAGTTTGGTTTCATAATGCAGAAAGTAATTGAACAACATATATTTAAATCTCAAGATATGACAATCCCCACCCATGCGTACACATGTATTCAGAATTCATAGAACATAAACACATTACTTCTCTTATAATGGCTTTTAAAGACATCAGAGAGCATTTCTCATACAGTCTTACCGATTTCAGCATAGGTATTGTGAGTTTATCATACAGATGAAAAACGCTATTATATGAGCATATTCTTGGTGTCTCTCCAGTGCAGTTTCTCTTGTGGGACAAAAATAACTTGGATGGTTTTAAAAACTAAAAACCTGAACCAAATAACAATGAAATAAGACAATACAAGTCAGGGACAATATTTTCTTTAAACTATCGTCCTGGGTTTTAATTGTATTTTCCTATCAGGTAATACGCATCCAGTGAGAATCCATAATAGTCATTTCAAAGAGAGGAAATGTAATACAGAGAACTGATTACATAGATGTTGGAAGTTGAAAGAACTAACAGAATCAGTGGAAGAATCTCGGGATTAATAACAGCAAGAAAACAGCTTAAATCACCAGAGCTGCAGAAATCAGAAATATTCATGTTGTATTTGGGGATTTCTTGTGGGCCTTGTTAATTGACTTTTTCCCTTTGATTCAGTTTGTGTCAAAGATGAGCCTTAGACATAATATGATATTCAAGTGGTTTATTATGGCAATATTCTTAAAAGAGGGACAGCGGGAGGAGGCTGGTGGTATAGGCCAAAAACAGTCAGGTAGATCTCTGTACAAAGACCATTCTCAGATATTAGGAGATTCTTCTTCCTTTCTTATATCTGTGTTAATGCAGGGTCACTTACCAGGTGTTACTTTTATAAAAGTAGTTTAAGCTATTCTTGTAAAGGCAAGTTTTGTTTCAAGGTTTATGAGAATTCTATCTGTGCTGAGGTGGTCGTGTCTCCTGGAAATCCCCTGGCCAGATTGCATCATACTGCTAAGTGACACATGTAGACACTTTATCTTGCAGACACTTTATGTCTCTCATGGTATTCTCCAGTCAGGTTCCCACACATTTGTGTAGGTGCACATGTGGCTGGTGTTTGGATTTCAGGAGGGGCCACACTTAGGCTGGTGCCGAGACCTGTGGAGGGGTAGACACTTCATGGCTGCTTCTCAAATGACGAAGATAGCTCACTGGGCTGGTACTAGGGATACAGAAGGGAGCTGGAGTTCCCTGGAACAGTAAACCCACCTCTGTTTCCCTCCTCTCATCTATCAGTCATTTCCCAATGGTTCCATGGTCAGATTCTAAGAGGATGTCAGCTAAAAGAAAGCTGGAGTTATGATTCGCAGACTCCCGGACCTCATAGCACATAGCAGAGTATAGAAGGGTGAGGGAATGGCTGAGAGGCAATATGTGAATAATCAACATATAATCAATACTTATATATTATATGTAAATAACTGACATACACATTTTTCAAACAATCTGTCTCTCCAAATACTGAGGCAAGAAGTTCAAATCCCATAGCTTGATGTACAGAAATTTAAGTCATATGGTTCTCAATTATTTCTTCATTAGGTACTTCCACTCTTACGATAACCTTACCAAGGTCAAATTTTCTTTATACAAATTTTACCTGCTGAGAGAATGTTAGATATTATTAGAAAAGAAGCCATTAAAATAGATACATTTATAAGTAACTCATTTAGATAATTTAAAAATAAAATTTGAATTCACCACAGAAGGTCATTTTTTAATTTTTTAATTCAGAAAGTAAAATATATATTGTTTTAGTTATTATTCAGAAAAAGTAAATCGAATAGATTTTGAGTCTAATTTCATGTACAAATATGTTAGATATTTCCAAATAAATTTGTCTTTAAAATAATTTATGTTGTAATCTGTGTTGTAGCAATTTTTTGAAGGAAATAAAAAACAACTTCAAAATGCTATGCACCCATTTCCACTAATTTAAAGGATTAAATAAATTGGTTATTTCTGCAGAGGAGTTATTCAAATTATCAAGTGTATCTCATCCCACTGCCTTGAAAAATCAGTGTGCTGTTGCATTATTCAACCAAGTAGCATTTCAACACATTAGCAGTTTAAATAAGAATAAAATAGATTTTTAAAAATATTCCAAACTATTTGATTACACTCTTGGAAAAGGCTTGTAAACATTACGGATCATGATATTTTGCTGCCATCTTCTGATGAAAATACTGTAGGAGGAAAAAATGTTTAAAATTATTCAAAGGAAATTTTCACAACATATTTTACTTGTGTTTGGGGATGATATGCTGAAGGAATATATGGAACCAAGTTATGTTATTAACACACCTATAACTTCTTTACTGATCCATTTGTTCAAACATCTTATGGCTACGGTATCTTACATCTTCTTTTTAATATTTAAATATGTGATTCAATATTCCCTGTGATAAATCAGAATATAAATAATTGGAAATATTTAGTTATGCTCCCTTTTAAGTTGTTAAATATAAATATTGCAACACAATGATGTATCACTTTATTTAATTGCAAAAAATAGCAGTGGGATTTTAATCTTGAGAACAGTTAAATATATTTAATGAGAATGCAGTGGTCTTCAGGTTTATTGGCCTTATTCTGAATCAATAAACTTTAAAAATTTTCTTCGTCTCCTTTTCTTTTTAAATCTGTAATCTAAAGTAAGGACTCCTGACACATTATCCGCTCATTTCTTAGATAATTAAATTAAAATCCAGCTCTTGGTTCTGCCATGAGCTTACAGTGTAATTTTATGCTAGCTGTACTTGGGCCCTTCTAGATGAGTTCAATATTTCTTAACTATCAGTTCCAGAAGGTCACACCTGTGAACTTCTGCATACATTTCTGAGGTGACAAAACAAAAAACAACACAACAACAACAACAAAAACTGAATCACCCTCTTTATACTAAGTTTATTCTGAAACTTTTGCAGTTACAATTTGAAATATAAGAAAGTTCATTTGTCTGTAGTATTATTGGAATAGTAAACATTGTACCAAATGATCACAAACTTCTCGCTCTTATACTCACCACTTGTGACCTCTTTAGTATCTGGATAGTGCTCACACTATGAAATAGAACTAAATATAAAGCTCATCAGAAATTTTGAAAAGTCCTTTTTTTAGGCACCCTTTCTTCTTTGTCAGCTTTATCATTAGACTCTTCATCTGACTGTGTCCTATAGTCTCCCCAATCCCTCTTTAAATAGTTATTATTTAAATACTAAATATTGCTTTAAATATTGCTTTAAAAAGTACTTAATATATTAATTTAAATTTAATTCAGAAAGACAGATAAGGCTCAGTGATACTTTTTCAAGTATCTGTTAATTTTAATAATTTTGTGACATTTTGAAGACTTGCCCCTACTTGTGGGTATTATCTGCCTTTTCCACTTAAGCATGTAGCACAAATCTTTCATACTTTATTAGCCTCGACAAAACAAAACTGGACCAATGATGGTGGCTACCACATGCTGTATCATCCTATAAATGACAAAAAGTGCTCCCTATAGACACATTTCATAAAAGCACATTTTTTTTTTGGCTGATAGACCCCCTCACCAGGAACCTGAGTATGTTAAGTGGAGCTGGAGGTCTCTATGTGATGCTTAAACTGCACAACTCTATGTGGTGATTCTGATTAATGTAGGATTCTGAGATTTCTGGTAGGTTACTCGGTTGAGTTGGTTCTTGAGGTGGGTTTTTATGGTATCTCTGCCTGTTACTTCCTTTGTGCCCATCAATAAAGGCAGAGTCAATGTGAAAAATTACCAGGACTTTGTTCTAGGTCACTTCTGTGCTCATTTTACCTTCGATCTTTTGACAATCTAATAATCTCTTATATTCCCAATTATTCAATGGTGCAAATATATCCACATATTTTCTTCCTAGTCTACTCAGCACTCCAGACTAACATGCACCCGTAACTTTCTGGACCCTGTACTTAAATATTTCACATTCACCCCAAACTCAAAGTGTCCAAAACTCAACACATCATCTTCAAGTCTAAACCCTTGTGCAGTAATTCCGATTTTAATGAATTGCCCCGTTAATCTTCCAGAAAAGTGTAAGTCATCTTTGCTGCTTTATCTTCTCTCTCCAGAACAGCACACATATTTCCATCTCTGGTGCTGCTATCTCCAGGTGCCACTCTCACTCTTTTCTCTCCTAACTGTGGCTTTGGTCTCCAGATTCTCCCGTGTACCTTTGCCCAGCTCCATTCTACCCTCCTCACTCTGTCAGAGTGTCGCTTAAAGTAGAGATCTGGTGGTGTCACTTCCCTGCTTAGAATTCTTCCAAGCTTTCCTACTGCTTGGAGCATGCATGATTGACCCTTATTCACTCCTGATTCCACCACATTTCTCCCTATGACCTTTGTTCCTAAATTTTCTGCATTTCTCTGAACATCACATACTTTCTCACTTAAGAATATGCCAGGACACAGTTATCTCAACAACACATCCTTGTATCTCATCAGTGCCTAGTAACTCCTGGCTTCTTGACCGAAAAGTTACTCTTTGAGCCCCACATTAAAAAGTTATCCTCCCAACTCCTCACTTCCCCTACCAATAATTTATACTCCCTTATTATCTTGAAATTATTTGCTTGTTTCCACTTTCACCACTTAACATTGTTTGTCTCCTGTGTCTACTTTTATAGGCTGTAAACGCAAGAACAGAGAACTTGTCGTCTATGCTCCTGACATCTTAACCGTTTGACAGTGTGTCTGACACATCATACACGGTCAGTAATTATAGGTTGGTTATACTATTTATTCATATATTCATTCTCCATATTTTCATTTTAAAGCTACTATAAACAAGGCTGTGTGCGATTGAGAGGTGAAGCCCCCTGGGTTTCTGGGAGGGGTGGGGACTTGAAGAACTTTTGTGTTTAGCCAAGGGATTGTAAACACACCAATCAGCACTCTGTGTCTAGCTAAAGGTTTGTAAATGCACCAATCAGCACTCTGTGTCCAGCTAAATGTTTGTAAATGCACCAATCAACACTCTGTCAAAACGGACCAATCAGCAGGATGTGGGTGGGGCCAGATAAGGGAATAAAAGTAGGCTGCCCAAACCAGCAGCTGCGGGGTTTCCTCTTGGAGGCTGTGAAAGCTTTGTTCCCTCTTCACAGTAAATCTTGCTGCTGCTCACTCTTTGGGTCCTCACCACCTTTATGCACTGTAACAATCACTGGGAAGGTCTGCAGCTTCACTCCTGAAGCCAGCAAGACCACAAACCCACCCGGAGGAAGAAACTCCAGACACATCTGAATATCTGAAAGAACAGACTCTGGATACTCTAGCTTTAAGAACTGTAACACTCACTGGGAGAGTCTGCAGCTTCATTCTTGAAGTCAGGGAGACCAAGAACCCACCAATTCCAGAAACACTATTATGTTTATGAGCATACTTAAATGAATACAATATAAACAAGTAGAGGTTAGATTCAGTAAAATCTAGATGTGAACTGATAGGATCACATTTTATCGATCTTTCATGCTGATTATATTCAAAGGTACATCAATGTCATGTGATTATTTACAGTCCTACTTTGAATTTCCCATATGTTTTGGTGCTTCCGGGTGGTTCAGGCCTGTAATCCCAGCAATTTGGGAGGCGGAGGCGGGCGGATCATGTGGTCAGGAGATTGAGACCATCCTGGCTAACACAGTGAAACCTGGTCTCTACTAAAAATACAAAAAATTAGTTGGGCATGGTGGCGGGCGCCTGTAGTCCCAGCTACTCAGGAGGCTGAGGCAGGAGAATGACGTGAACTGGGGAGGCAGGGCTTGCAGTGACCTGAGATCGCGCCACTGCACTCCAGCCTGGGTGACAGAGTGAGACACCATCTTAAAAGAAAAAATGAAAAATGAAACCATAACCTATAGGAACTTTGTTACTTCCATAGTGACTATTGTGAAAATAATGTCTCAGAAAGTTACCTTCTGGTTTACATTCATTTAGTTCATTTAATATCAAGATGTGTCAATATCATTTATTGACTAAAATATGTTTCACAAGTTGGTGCTGACCTCTTAATTTCTTCTGTTTCCTTACGTAAATTATTGGCTATGTTTTGAATACCTTTTAAATAATGTGCACTTCCAATTGTATTGAATGCAGGAAACTTTTTTACTACGGTTATGTTAAAACTTTGAAAAAGATGCTTAAATTGTCTCATAAAAATATCATTATGTCTGTGATGTTGATAAATTGAATTTCTGTTCTTAACAAAATTATTTTCTATATATCTTTTGAACAATACCTTCTATTTTTTATTGTCTGCTGACTATATTTAGTTTCATTATTAAATTCATTGTATTACAACTTTCAATTTTCTTCCTGTAGGTATGTTATTTCCCAAAATATATATGAATACTTGAAAAATCAGTCACATCTACTAGTTATTCATAAAAAAAATAAAATCAATAGATTGCATGGTTTTATAAGAATGAGTAAAAATTTGCTTATACTAATTAAAATGTTAGGGTACATAGATTATTTTGTAACCATATAATAGACATATAGGGTAGTATTAATAGATAAGATATCCACTAAATGAAGAAAACTCTTGATAGTGTGAATTAGTAAACCATCTACTTTTCAGGAATGAGCTTTACAAAATTAGACCGAGATTTAGATGATAGAAATGGCAGGATATCCGTAATATCCTATGATTATAGCTAAAATTTATTTATTTGAGAAAATCTGTTAGCAGTAGATTAAATTTTTTAATGTTTGTTTATTATAATATGAGCTTGTTCAAACATTTGAAAATGAAGTTGAGTCCTCAACAGATAATGATAAACTTATGCAAATCAGTCACATTATATAATTTAGCAGATTGCATTGTTTATTAAGAACCAAAACATTTAAATACATCAATGTTCACAGTGACAACACTGCAGTGAAGGTAGTTCACAAAAAGATTTTTAGCCGGGCGCGGTGGCTCAAGCCTGTAATCCCAGCACTTTGGGAGGCCGAGATGGGCGGATCACGAGGTCAGGAGATCGAGACCATCCTGGATAACACGGTGAAACCCCGTCTCTACTAAGAAATACAAAAAATAGCCGGGCGAGGTGGCAGCGCCTGTAGTCCCAGCTACTCGGGAGGCTGAGGCGGAGAATGGCGTGAACCGGGAGCAGAGCTTGCAGTGAGCTGAGATCCGGCCACTGCACTCCAGCCTGGGCTACGAGTGAGACTCCGTCTCAAAAAAAAAAAAAAAAAAAAAAAAAGATTTTTAATATATCACAATGTACACTCTAATGTACACATATATATTTTAATTTTTAGTTTTTGTGAGTACATAGTAAGTACATATATTTATAGGGTACATGGGACATTTTGATGCAAACATACAATGCATAATAACTACATTAGGATAAATAGGGTACTCATCCCCTCAAGCATTTATCTTTTGCGTTACAAACAACCCAATTATAATCTTTCAGTTATTTTAAAACTTACAGTTATTAACAATAATTCCCCTATTATCCTATGAAATGCTAGATCATTTCTAATTATATTTTATACTAATTATCCATACCCACTTCCCACCCCCAACCCTCTCAACCCCGACTACCTTTTCCAGGCTCTGGTAATTATCACTCTACTTTCTATCCCAATGAGTTCAAGTGTTTTAGTTAATAGCTCCCACAGATAAGTGAGAACATGTGGTTTGTCTTTTTGTGCCTGGTTCATTTCTCTTACCATAATGACCTCCAGTTTTGTCCATGTTCTTGCAAATGATAGGATCTCATTCATTGCTATGGCTGAATAGTATTTCATTATGTATATGTACCACATTTTACTTATCCATTAGTCTGTTAGTGGACAGGCACTTACTTTGCTTCCAAATCTTGGAATTTGTGACTTTTATTATGGCTTTTTATTGTGGCTTCGATCATGTTACTTGTTATTGATGTGTTCAGCTTTCATATTTCTTCATGGATCATCTTTGTCAGTTGTATGTGTCTAGGAATTAATCCATTTTTTTCCAATTCATTGGAATTGGAAAACAACTGTAAATATAGTTGTTTACGGTAGTCTCTAAAAATCTTTTGAATGTCTGCAGTATCAGTTATAATGTCTCCTTCTTCCTCTATGATTTTATTCATCTGAGTCTTATTTCTGGAAGATAATAAAAAAAGGTGGAATAGTGAATGCCACTCCAGGTGTAGTAAGTTAGAATCTGAATTTCAACAATATTGTCAAATCATTCAAGTAACAATTAAAGTTTAGAAAAGATTTGTGTGAAAGCTTTGTTACTTACTGTCTCTATAATTCTGAAGAGTTCCTAAACAACGTTGACTCTTATTTCCTAATCTGTAAAATCAGATGAAATCAACTGCTTTGATAAATCTCTGAATTATTATAAATATCTGACATTTTATAAATATCTATCTGTAAAAAATTCTGCAATGTGGTATATATGTACAATGGAATATTGACCAGTCCTAAAAAAGGAGGAGATCCTGCCAGTTGCCAAAACATGGAAGGACCTCAAGGACATTGTACTAAGTGAAATAATCCAGACATTTAAAAAAGTCATGATGTTACTTATATGTGGAATCTTAAAAAAAAAAAAAAAGGTCAAATATAAAGAAACAGAGAATAAAACATTCCCAGGGTGAGGGTAGAGAGAGGAATGAACACATGTCATTCAAAGAACACAAAGTAGCAAATTTGTAGAATAAAAAAATCTAAAGACCTAAGGTACAACACATGAACTATAAATAATATATTCAGGATTTTTGCTAAACAGGTAGATTATTACTACTCTTGCTACAGGTAGAAAAAAATGGGTAACTCTTATGTGTGACTTGAGGGTTATGTTAATTTGCATTGCTATGGTAACCATTTTGCTATATAAATGTAATTCATAACCTATTATATGCCAAATAGGTACAATATTTTTAAAGGCAATTACCTGTTTAGATATTTTCCATATCTAACGCTGCCCACATTCCTGCCGATATATGGACAGTGATTTTTACGATATATTACTAGTCATATACAAACCATTATATCTTCTTTTCACTCTGTAGCGTCTTTTGATGAATAAAAGTCTTTATTTTACTGTAGTTCTAAATATCAGTTCTTTTCTTCCTTATTAGCTTTTCTTTTTCTTTTGGTGACATACTTAAGAATTTTCTAAGCAGATACCATAATGATATTCTTCTTTTACCTTTTAAAATCTCTGTGGTTTTGTCTGTCACATATAGTTCCTCAATCCCCCCAGAGCTGACTTTTGTGTTTTATATATGATTGATAATTTACATTCATGATACATTAAAAAAATACATATATCAAGGTGACTCATTTTTTATAAAGCCTGTCCTTTCTACACTAATCTGTTGTGCCATTTTGGTCGTCATTCAGATGTTTATAGATGGATGTATCTGGACTCTATTCTGTTTTTTGATATGTTACACATTCTTAGGCCAATATCACACTCTCTTTAGTTACTGTAGCTTTGATTAAAATATCACTTCTTTTCTGATAAAGTAAATCCACTTAACGTGCTCTTCTAGAGTGTCTTGGCTGTTATTGGCCCTTTAATTTTCCAAATAAATTATGAAATTGGTTTTTAAATTTCCAAAAAGAATCATCAATGATTTTGCATAAAGAGGCTGAAAAAAATAACTGGGTCTTCTAGCCTCTGATGATGACATCATCCTTTAGGTAAGGTTTTTAAAATTATATTTTATCCTTTTTTATAGAAGTTTTACAGATAGTTTTAACATTTATTCTTGGGTGTTTCACTTTTTGTATTTTAAATTACGTTTGGTAAATGATTTATTTTAATTTAATTGTTTCTAATTTTATACCTAACCTTTTAACTAAGCTCTCTTATTTTATAATCTACATGTGGAATATTTTAGATATTTACCTATGTATATATTTTATATGACGATGTACAATATATACAATAATTACATAATGCATTAGTTTTCTAGGGTTCTCATAATAAGATATAATAGATTGGGTAGCTTAAACAATCAAAGTATTTCTTCTCATATTTCTGTAAGTCTGGAGACCAGAAGTTCAAGATCAAGGTCATACTGTTGATTTGTTCTGAGGGCTGTTGGTGAAAGATCTGTTCCAGGTCTCTCCTATTGGCTTATAGAAGACATCTTCATGTTCAAAAAGTGTTCTCCCTATATCTTCACATCATGTTTCCTTCTCTATGTGCCTGTGTCCAAATTTCCTTTTCTTGTAACCACACAAAGTATATTGAATTACGACCTATCTCAATGACTTCAATTTAACTTAATTAGCTCTGTGAAGACCCTGTCCCCAAATATGGTCACATTCTGAGGTACCAGGAGTTAGAAGTTCAACATAAATATTGGGGGGTAGGTAAGGGGACACAATTTAGCTGATAACAAGCTTTTACTTTCTGATTCTTATAAATTTTTATACACTTTTTTGTTGTATTGCACTAATTATAATGTTCAATAGAAATAGTAAATGGGTCATAGCTTTATCCTTAACTTGTGAGCAGAAGCTATCAAATATGTACTATTAAAATGTTTGCTATAGGTTTTCAAGGGCTACACAGGTACTAGTTAAAGAGTTTATGAAACAGTCCTCTTTTTCTAGTTTGTCAAAAGCATTTATTGTAAAGGAAAATTAAATTTTGATCATTTGTCTGCCTTTGTTGAAAATATCATGTGTTTATTTTCTAATATTTCTGTTATTATAGTAATTTACTTTCTTTTTTAAAAAATCATGCAATTCAGCACTTGTGGAATAAATCAAATGCAAATATATTGTTATTTATTATTATTATTATTTACATATTTTTGTGATTGGTTTGAAAATAGCTTGTCAGGAATTTTTGACTCTAAACTTATAGAAAATATTGCCCTCTAATTTTCGCTTCTTTTAAGAAAAAAACATGTTTTTCTTGTAGTGAGGCTACACTTTTCTATAAAACAAATTGACATTTTTACTTTCTTAACTAATTCCTTAAGATTTTAGCTTATTTTACATATTCATGTTTGGTAGTATTAATAAATAAAACATTATAGGCCTGATGCTTGTGCGTGAAAGAAGAGGACAAGAGAGAACATTTGTGATTGTACATTCTATTTCTTAATTTAGTACAGTGTTATTCGCATTTTCTGTTGATTCTATATCAATTTCAATGTATATATATTTTCCAAGATTATATTAATTTTATTTAAATTATTAAATATATTAGTACAACTTTGTTTATAATATGTGTAGCATGTATAATTAGTCTTTTCTGGTAATCTTGTATTTGCTATTTATTCCTTCTTTCATTTTAGCTGAGAATTCTAGCCATATACATATCAATTTTAATGATTGTTTTAAGAATCATTAAATCTTTTTTTAAATAAATTCTATTTTATATTTGTTTTCTGTGTCACTACTTTCTGCCCTCAATATTTTCCTTTCTACTTTCCTTGGGATTTATTTTCTGTTATTTTCCTATTTTCTTTGGCTGGATACATCGGTAGTTAATTTTTTTAAGGGGCAGAGGCTACTGTTTTCCAATTTCTAATTATTTGCTTAATTGAGAAAAAATATTTTAGCTTTACTTGTGAAGGCTCTTTTCACTTGGTATTGTTGGGTTTGTTTTAATTTGTTTATTTTTATTGGCATTTTTCTTATCCTCAATGCTTTTGATTGCTAGGACTTTGAAAAATATCATTATGTTTTATACTTGTTGTTTATTGTATTTCTTCTAGCTGTGATTTAATGTCTTCACCGGATTTGGAAAATGTCCATACCCTTCACATATTGCTTTTACTTCCCATTTTTTTTCTCTCTTCTGGAATTGCAATTATATCCATATGTTAGAAAGTTTTACTTCATCCCATGTGACTTTTATTCCCATTTTATATTTCTGTTTGTATCGCCATAGTTATCGATGTATCTCGCATTATATATGTTGGCATATTTTCTCCTTTTATTCCAATTTAATAATTCAGTCTCGGTTTGGTCTAATCTCCTATTAAATCCATAAATTATATATCTTAATATTTATGATTACATTTTCAGTTCCAAAATTGTTTGCTCCTTTTTACTGTTTTCAGTTTTCTGCTGAAATTACCAATTTTCTCTTCTATTTTCCTGATAACGAAGCAACACAGTTATTTTGATGTCTTCGTTGTTTTTATCCAAAGTTGGTCTATTTCTATTGTCTATTATTTTGCCTGATTTTCCAGCACACAATCAGGTCTCTTAATAAGATTAGTCATTTTTGATTGAGGGCTGAATATTTTATCCGAAAGTTGAGATAATTTGAGGCTTATGGTGGTGTGCTATGCATTAAAGGACCTTATAGGTTGTTTCACACAGCTATCTAAAGATGTGCTTTCTTTATTATTATACAGCTAGCTGAAGGGATGATTTCTTCATCATTATAAAGCACATAGAAGCTATTCTCAAATATCTTAAGATTTTTTTCTTTTTTTGTTTGTTTGTTTTTTTCATTTTTTAAAAAATTTATTTATTATTATTATACTTTAAGTTCTAGGGTACATGTGCATAACGTGCAGGTTTGTTACATATGTATACTTGTGCCATGTTGGTGTGCTGCATCCATCAACTCGTCAGCACCCATCAACTCATCATTTACATCAGGTATAACTCCCAAAGCAATCCCTCCCCCCTCTCCCCCTCCCCATGATAAACCCGGTGTGTGATGTTCCCCTTCCCGAGTCCAAGTGATCTCATTGTCCAGTTCCCACCTATGAGTGAGAACATGCGGTGTTTGGTTTTCTGTTCTTGCGATAGTTTGCTAAGAATGATGGTTTCCAACTGCATCCATGTCTCTACAAAGGACACAAACTCATCCTTTTTTATGGCTGCATAGTATTCCATGGTGTATATGTGCCACATTTTCTTAATCCAATCTGTCACTGATGGACATTTGGGTTGATTCCAAGTCTTTGCTATTGTGAATAGTGCCGCAATAAACATACGTGTGCATGTGTCTTTATAGCAGCATAATTTAGAATCCTTTAGGTATATACCCAGTAATGGGATGGCTGGGTCATATGGTACATCTAGTTCTAGATCCTTGAGGAATCGCCATACTGTTTTCCATAATGGTTGAACTAGTTTGCAATCCCACCAACAGTGTAAAAGTGTTC